TAATAAGAACGCACAGCTCGTTCTTTGGTCAAGTTCTTGAAGTCAACCGCCAAAACTTGCATCTTGCAAACAAGCCTCGTCACCTCAGCAACTGCAGAACAGCTCGGAACGTTCCAGGAGACGTTAACGAATGCCCTCCCCTAGGGAGGGGATTATTCAGTGTCTAGACAAGCAGCTCTAGTGCTGCTCTGGCAAACCCATAATTGTACTTTTTGTTACCCTCTGTCCGTTAAAACACTCAAAGCTTAGTTCTGCATCTCTCTTTCATTTGAAATCTGACTGCAGCCTTGCTTTTCTCCGACTCCCGCAGCAGGCAGCTGCGGTGTCTCTGGGCACGCGTCTCAAACGCAGCTAGCTGCGGGATCCGTTGCCACCGTAAGCTACGTTTCATGGCTGAACTCTATCGGTTCTTTTTGCAAATCACTTCATTTTTCCCTTATCGGGTCCCTTGCTGATTGTGGAAGAGGGGAGATGAAAGAACTATTCATGCGTTGGAGCTAGCCTCGGTATTCAGTATCTGCTCCCTCCCCCCAGTCTTCTGGGAGTTCTGGGGCGTTCAGTTTCCATGAGCCGCTCTTCGTCCCCAGATTCCTCTCACGCCCAGACGATGGCCTCACCAACAGATCATCTGGATGCAGCTGAGCCGTGATACACAGGCGACAAGTTCTCTGCGCTGTCCGCCCCACGCTCTCACCTTACGACGCACGCGTCGCGTCTCAGCCCACGGAGAGGGAACTGGCTCTGCCCTCGGCGATGCAGGGCCCGCGCCTGGCACCCGCGCCCCACAGCTTTCCCTTCGCCCGCTCACGCGGCCACAGCCTTGCTCCGCAGCCCACCGGTGCCGGTGGCACACCTCCACCCCCGCGAACGGCCAAAGTACACAGCACCCCGTACAGCCCGATGTGTGCAGTGACGCAGCCAGCGTATGTAAAGCTCGTTTTATTTTCTTCCCAGTTACTGCTCAGCTTGGCTTCAGCTCCCAGCCCTCAATCACTCATTTGGTTGAGCTGTTTCTATTTAAAGTCAGCAATGCTAATACTGCTCAAGATAAATCAAAGTTAGAGCCAGACAGACACCTCCTCCTATTTGCCATTTCCCAAAAATGCAAAGACTAGGAGACTGTTTCATAAACAGTACTGATTTGTCCTGAAGTGACAGGGATGTTAATTAGTGCTGGCAAAGAACAACTGAAATTCCGTTTAAAAAAAAAAAAAAAAAAGGCAATCTGACCTTAGGGAAAAAACCCCTCTCTATGTAGCTGCTTCAAATGAAATTATCGGCCAGGTGTCACCTACTATGAGCTGTGCAACCACAAGTCCTCGTGGCTCCCAGATGAGGCAATTTCCAGTGCCCTGGGCTCACAGGCGATGGAGAAGCTGTCCAGAAGCCAGCCAGGGTTTTTGTCTCGGTGACACACACACACACATCCCCCCATTCACCAACCCTGCGTATTGAAACGGAATTGTAAATATCCTCACCCAGCCTTACAGAAATGCACCTGGTTTGCAGATTATTCAGTGAAGGGAAACATTGCTGTGTTCACATACCTGCATGTTCACGCATGCACAAATGCATTACTTGCTAGGCTTGCAACAGGTTTCTTTTTAAAGTATAAACAATCAGTATCAAAAACATCTGCCAAGGCTTCCAGTTAAACCGAAGCCCTCACTACGGGCATTACAAGGTACAGCGCTCCGTCAGAGGAAGTATTTTCCCCAAGCTTCCAGTTCTCACAGCCTCCTACCCAAGTGGGAAGAAGCAAGAGCCGCCTGTCTTGCCCAAGTACACCAACCACCCCAACCAGAACAGTGCATTCTTCTTTCCCCTCAGATGACCAAATTAAAAAGAGAAACCCAACCCCTAACCACTGCAGTCTCTCTTCGGTGCCGCCTGGAAAGGTAGAAGTTTGATAAAGCTGCATCTCAAAGTGACCTGATGGGAAGTAGCTATGTGGGACACTCACTCAGAGGTACAGGCAGAGCCAAATTAATTCTCCAAATACCTGAAAATTCCAGTATGAAGTACTATGAAAGAAAAACCAGAAATCAAGTACCAGGAATAAGAATGTGTCATCATTCTGCCGAATACAGCAGCTAGGTACAAGCACCCCACGGGAACAGGCTGGTCCTGCTTGATCATTGTAAATTTTACAGCTGGACATGAAACCCAAATCCATGCCATGCTCCAGGAGAATGAGAGGAGCCCAAGGAGGAGTATGAGAGCTCTAGGAGTACGAGAGCAGCTTAGGGGAGTTTTGGGCTATAAAATTTATATCTGGTCAAAACAGCCACAGCTAAATTCCCATTCTCAAGTGGGAATGTTTGTGGTAAGGCAGAAAAGGTCAGTGGAGAGCAATGGCTACAATACCGCAGCACATCAGAGAAGCCCCAGCAAAGGGGCATCACCTTTTTTATTGGGAAAGAGAAGCAACAAAACATTTTTTTTTTTTTTTTTTCTTCTTCTTCTCTGGATGATCAAAAGGGTCCACTGAAACTGTGTTTCTGGAATTAAATGTTTATTTAAATGTGGATGACTTTCCTTTCACTGTTAGAAGGTCAATATTCGCTTTCAAATGGAAGCACTTTATTTGGTTGAATTCTGTTTCCAGAAATGAATGGGCAACACCAGAACCTTATACATTGGCAATGAAATCACAAGACTGAGATGCCACCAAAATCTAGAGATCAGTGCTCAAACACACATACACACACATATACAAATAAAAAAGTGCTTGACATCATCATGTTAAAATAGAATTTGGCTTCTTTTAGGTCTTTTCTTCAGGCAGGAAAACAAAGAACAATACGCAAACTAAATGAGCTTCTGAAAAATACTTAGCATTAAACACAACTTTCAGTAAATATGTTTCTTCTGTATTTACAGGTGTTAAGAAAGGGCATTAGAGACTTTTGCCGGGGATAATGAGATTTTGTAGGATGTACAGTCCACACTTCTGGGCGAGATTAGTAAATTCAAGCAGAGTTTTTATAAACCAGTCACATATTTAGTCCTTCAAATTTTGTGAAAGGAATAGTCTACAAAAATTACTCATTCGTTACCCTGAATAAAGGCAGCAGAATAAAGATGTGTAGGCTACAGTGCATGACTGTTTCCGTTTTTTTCTTGCAGTAAGTTTTAAGATCCGGGCTCTCGGGAACTAGTTGCCAAGTTTATAAAAACTCCATACATGGTCTTTTAATAAAACTTTTGAAGAAAACCAGTCAGCTAAAGCTAATGCTCCTTCTAAAGCGCTATTTAGCAACACAGACATTGCAATCGTTCAAATGTTCCACAGAGGCTGACAATAATATACTGTCCACCTAGATTAAATATATAAAAGCAAACTTTTATCTAATTTTTACATAGATGGCACAACAATAGGTGAAAACGAATTCTTCTAGCTGCTGATTCAACAGTGCATTGGACATGAGAATAAAAATACTGCAGCTAAAAATATTTACGATATTTTTGCACACCTGTTAACTGCTTAACCATTTTACATCCCCCGATAGATGGATGCCGCACAGCCTTTGCACAAAGCCACAGGCGCCAGCCGCGTGGATCACATTCTGCTATCGGAGGCTCGTGGATCTAAACAGTTAAGCGACCACAGTAGCAGCAATGCTAAGGATGGCAAGTTAATTATGACCCTTCCTGACACTGCTAACGCTGAACGGCCTCAGTGGTGGTATCGCCTGCTTCTCCATGCAGGCTCCTGAGCCACTTGAATTACATTAAAAACCCTTAACCCGTTGCTGGTTGATGCTTGCAGATCTTAAGCACCGTAATACAACAGCTACAGTACGAACTGTAGGACTGAGGGACTTTGTGCTATTAAAAAAAAAAGTTGGTATCTTGAATGGAGAGAAAGGGACAGAGTTATGAACACAACACATCGCCTAACTCAAAAATGACTTTGTCCTGAGTGGGGATGACCTAGGCAACCCCCAGCATGGAGAGTACTTGATTCTTGGCCACGTTTCTATATGCTGACCCTGCGTATAAGCGCAGCAGGCAGCAAAACACCACGCACGTTTGTCTGCAAACTAAACCTGAGAGGTTTCATTTTAGGGTCACTGCACACAGTGGCTTCCGTATCAATTTTCTAAATTCTACTTGCTCTTAGGGAACTTTGTCTTTTGTAAAATCTCCAGAATTTGAGGGATCAACACAAATGATGTGTTGATCTATGAATAAATTAGGCCCTCAGGAGCTATTAAATAGCAACTGACTCCTACAGGGCTCAAATGTGTACAAGATGACTGTAAAATCCTAGCAATGGTAAAGATTCAGGGGAAACCAACAGTTAAAATATAGAAATTTAGAAAGCAATGGACCCTTTCTTAGGCAGTTGCGGTCCAGATCACGTGATATTTGGAGATACCATAGCTCGCTCTCCACTGCATGACATGATAAAGCACAGCATCACTTATCATGCTACTTCTGCTTCAAATAAAACCATGTGAGAACAGGATGGTCACAATTCCTGTCTGGCTTCTGGGTCGAGGTCCAGTCCATGAAAGGTGGGAGAAGGAAATAGAGTGCGGTTTCTTTTTTCTTTTCTCTCTGATTTTTCTAAAAAAATTCTGTTATTCAAACATTAACTGATGAGAACGCACGAGAGGTCATGCAAAAGGAGAAGGCAGGTCTGAAATGCTGAAAAACAAACCAACAAAAGAAAACTGCAAAGAGATTGACAACAACGAGCCACAAAATAACGTGACCCTCAGGAAGGTGGGCGCAGGCAAGGCAACAGGGCGAGCATGCAGACTGAAACGAGAGCAAAACGGAGGTCTTTGTGACAAGCAAAATGGGGCTTCAAACCAAAATGCCAGTGTCTCTGTGTGTGTGTGTCTGTGTGTGTGTGAGAAAGAGGAGGGAGAGAGGAGCGGGGGAATAAAGAGGAGGGGGCAGAGAGAACGAGCAGGAAAACAAGCGTACATACGTGAGCTTGAAGGCTTTCAGGAAACAGCAAGGTCATAGGGATTTAATACTTGGAATGAGCATCAGCCTAGATTTAAAAAAAAAAATAAAGGCTGACAAGTATTAGTGACCTTTTGGGGAAAGCAGAATATTGAATAATGCATATGGATCAGATTTAATATCTGCAAATTCAGAGCCCAGTCCAGCTGCTGTAACACTGTTCCCAGGGGAGGCTTTCCCCGTGCACGCACCTCCTTTCCAAGCCATGTGGTGAGACTACCTGCAGGATTAGCACTGAAGGCACCATGTGAAACGCCGATGGACCAGTGCATACATTTGGACTGAAGGACAAGGGAGGACAGAAGACAGACCAGTACATGCTTGGGACTCTCTGGTTACCCCTTGCATCAAAGGGCAGCCAGCAGTTCTTTGACCGGTGTTGGGAGGAATCGGATGGGGGACAAGTGTGGGTTATGTTTTACAGAGGGGCTGTGCCAAGCTGGCGGAAGAGTGGGAAAGGCCGGTAAGTTAATCTGAGCCACAAGTAGCATGCCATGAAAAAGAGCAAGCGTCTGAATGGTACTGGGATGGAATTTAGGTCTGAATTTTTCAACTGGGAACTCCAGACAAGACTGGGAGTCTGGCTTTCCATGGGTGTGTTTTAACTGCCTGCAGGGTAAACAGACCATTTTGTTTCTCCTTCTGTGACAAGCTCGCCCCGAGGTTCTTGCACCAGCACAAACACCTTTAGGAATCTAAAACATAAGAAAGACAAAAAGAGACTGGATTAGAAAGAGGCTGGGGAAAATGGGATCCCTTAAGAGTAGTACTGCCTGCAGGAGGTTAAAGGAAATACAGCATCCAAGCATCTACCAGGTTACAAGGGGTTAAGGAAGGCTCCTGAACTCAGGCATACACTGCCAGCACTCAAACAGTAACAGTTCAGCCTCAGCCCCTTCCTTCAGCCTGGGGATGAGCATCACTGGGACACCGCTCTCCTCTGGGAGGAGGACGTAAAACTCAGGAGCGGAACCCTGCCAGCACTTCTAGTGCAACAGAGAAAACAAACAGCTTTTTATTTTTCAATCTGCAAAGGAGTACTGTATCTGTTCAAGTGACAGCTCCAGACACCATGAATGATACTGAAGAACAACAACAGGAAACTAAAAACACAAAGAATTTTGCAGACGAATCCAGACTAGCTATCCTTTCCACAACAGGCTGCAAAGACCTTTCATTCTTAAGGGAAGCGCAGAAATAAACAGGTAAGTGCAAGCAGTCTTGGCCACTAAACCTATCCTTTGTCACATTCCTGCACCCACAGACTTCTGGCCAAGGGTAGGTTTCCTCTGTGGCCAAGTGAAGCTACAATCCAGAAGTGTGATTTGGCCAAAGAGGCTGCGGTATCCAAGGGAATGCAGGATGAGTCCAAATGTCCCTCACATTCGAGAGAGCAGGGGAACCTTCCCATCTCCTTTGCACCCACTTCCATAAAAGAAAAAAAAACTCCAAACGACAGCATGAAAAAGTTTTCACAGAGCCAGAACAAAATATTTTTCCTGAAAAGGAATTGCATTTGTACTTAGCGTGGGAAGCAGGTGAAAAGCAGCTCTGGGCCATTTGCTTAGTAAAGTTAAACTAAAATGAATTGCCATTAAGGAAAAAAAAAAACCTCACAGGAATGAGAAAATATAATGTTTATTAGAAGAAGACACCATGGTACATCAAGCTATAGAGAGATTCCTGACAGATGATGATTCTTTAAAAAATAAGAATAGAAACGAAACAACCACACTGGCCAGATTTAACAAACCTTAACACAACCCAAAAGTTTCTATGCAAGTCCAACCAGATGCAGGCAATTGAGTAACCAAAAAACACTTATCAACATAAGACGAACTGAGTAGTTATCAAAACAACAGCTTGGTTAAGCAGAACAGACTATAAAACCATTTATATTTATACATATATAAAAGGATAAAAACAATTCAAGTAACTTTAGTTTTTAAGTTATGTTATATACATTTTTTTATATACTGGGAGAACTAAGGGCAAGTATTTAACAAAAGGATTTAAAAAAGCCACAGTCCAGTTTATAATTACTGTTTCCTAAATAATTTGGCAAGCATTAAATAATCAGATATATCCTAGATAAAAAGTGCATCAGCATGGTTAACTTTTACCTATTTATTTATGTAAGTCGAGGCTCTGCATAATGGTTACAGCAAACAAACAGCAGAGCTGCAACACTGAGAATCACAGAGCTGTCTATAAGGATTTATTTATATAATTGGAGGTGAGGAGAAACAGACCCACAGCGGCAGAGGAGCTGAAATGCTAATATCAGCCCGTGGCTCCAAAATTTTTTTATCAGGAAGTTTCATTTCACAAAACAGCCCCTATTACTTGCACGTCACCCAAACAGCCAGTCTTTCTGGTGGAAGCGAACAGGGCATTTTTGTCGGGTGCAACAGAGAGTTTATACGAAGCTGGTTATTTCATGCAAATTCTTTCGTGTATCAGCCTATT